TTTTTCTAACATTTGGTGAATGGATGTGTTGGGAAAAAAAATGAAGTTTGACACTTGGACTTCAGCATTCTGATATGACACAAAGGCAAAAAAGCTTCTGAGCTGTGTGGGAATTACAGTTAAACTTCCAAAGGTTTCAGATTAATTTGTTTTGTGCTGTTATGATCACAAGGACTTCAAACTTCTTTCATGGGATCTCTCGCTTTTGTGTATTTACATTTTGTTTCAAAACCATTCACCATCTAAAAACAGAACCTCATACTTCCCACATGACCCTGTCCATAAAGTGTTTTCATTTTTCTGGTATTAGAGTCATAGAATCATAGGATGGTTTGGGTTGGAAAGGGCCTTAAAGATCATCGAGCTCCAATCCCACTGCCATGGGCAGGGACACCTCCCACTGGAGCAGGCTGCTCAAAGCCCCATCCAGCCTGGCCTTGAACACTTCCAGGGATGGGGAATCCACAACTTTCCTGGGCAACCTGTTCCAGTGTCTCACCACCCTCACAGTAAAGAATTTCTTTCTAGTATCTAATCTAAATCTCCCCTCTTCCAGTTTAAAGCCATTACCCCTTGTCCTATTGCTCCCCTCCCTGATAAGAAGTCCCTTCCCATCTCTCCTGTAGGCCTCCTTCAGGTACTGGAAGGCTGCTATAAGGCCTCCCCAGAGCCTTCTCTTCTCCAGGCTGAACAACCCCAACTCTCTCAGCCTGTCTTCATAGGAGGGGTGCTCCAGCCCTCTGATCATCTTCGTGATCCTCTGCTGGACCAGTTCCAACAGGTTCGTGTCCTTCCTGTCTTTGAATATTATTAGCATATTCAATATTTATATGTGATATACTTTGATACTTTGCACATCAATGCTCTTTTTCCCTTCACAAACACCTAATCTCTCATCCATCCTTTTGTAACTCTGTCGGGTAGCTGGGCCTCTGATTGTATCTCCCTTGCTTGGAAGAGAAGAGATTTGCACAAATAAAGACTTGTCTTCAGTGATTTTCTTTGCAGCCTGACTGCTGACAATCAGTTCCTCCTATTAGAGCCTGCTTCAGTTCTTTGGCACATTTTTACATCCTTATCTTTCACTGAACAGCACCATCATTCCACCTAAACTAGAGATTTCCATATTATATACTTGATCTGACCAATCACAGAAATTAGAGATGGTACAAGAAGTATGTGATTATTATGTGATTGAGGAGATGTTGCTTTTCCCTGTGAGGGCTGATCTGAGGACCAGTGCTTTTTACAAGGGAAAATTAAATTCTCCTGAACGCCAGTTCAGCCATTTCTGAGCCTCATGTTTTTTCTCTCAAGCAGTAATACCATGGTATCCATAACCTCTACAGACAGTAATTACCAGTAGTAAGCCACATAACTGGGATAAATTACAATTTTATTAGTACAACTTTCTTACCATTTCACCATCATTTAAATCTCACTGTGAAAATCTTTTATTATTTATCACAGACATTTAAAAATTCAGATAAGTCTGAGACGCTTATCTTGAGAAATTCATAGATCTTACAGGATTTCTCCTCTTTCTCCTCTGGAGAAGCTATTTTATCTTTAGTTGGCAGAGAGCTCAGGGAGACTGTGGTGACTGCAGAAATTTAATTCATACTTCCTGAATTCTGATCCTGAGCCGTGGCTCTAGATTTTCTTTCCTAGTTTAAAAAAGTATTTAATGTGAGCTGATAAATTGTCCACATGTTCTATCCCAGCTTTTGTTTAGATGAACCCAACTCCTTTGAAGGCAGGGGACCTGCATTCTTTTTACCCCCAAAGAGTCTGCTATTCTTCCGTAATTCTTAGTAAACAAACAAACAAAAAAAACCAAACAATGTGCTTCCTTGTTGCTTTATTTTATTACTAAGATTGGCTAGGCTACCTTGACAGACCTCAATCAAGTAAACTGTTGTTTACACAAGTGAAAATCAGAGTAGATTTAGACAAAAATACCCAATGTCTAAATGGGTCTAAATGTCTGAAAGCATAACAAATGTCAAAATTTCAGTTTCAGCAGTTTTTACAAATAGGCTATAGTTTGACAACTACAACATCAAAACATTTATACAGTAATTTTAACTGTTTATCTATGACATTACAACTACAACTGTGGACTTGCTGCAGTTACATAGCAATGACTTCAGTACTGAAGAATCATATAGTTGTTTTATAAATATTTATCATGCCAGAAGGAGTAGTAAAGTGTAGCAAACCTTGAAGTCTAGCATTGTTCCGTTCATTGTTGTTAAGAGTCTTGCTCTGTTATTTACATTAGTCTCCAGTAAAAAATATTTTCAGGAATATCTCTCTAGATGCAGAAGCGAAGCTTTTATAGTATCATATACTGGTAGGGAATTATCACAGATGATCATCTTCTGCTCATAATCTGAAATGCAGTGAGTGTTATGGTAAAATTTTTGGGCATACATCACAATTTAGCGTGAAATGATGGAAGACAAAACATTCAGGTTTACTTTTCTGCCCTGTCAGGAAGGATTTATTTGTGGGAAGGTGCTTTTCCCAAGAGCTGACTCTGAAATACCTCATCCTGGTTTTGTTGTGTGCTCTGAAGTTCAACAAAGCAAGCAGAATTGTACACCTGTAGAGTGGGTGCATACTGCAGGTGTACAGCCACCAGTGTTGCCAGGTCGTGCTGAAGGATTAACTTCATCCTAGGGCAGAGAGCTTGGCAGCCTGGGGTTGCTGCTTTCTGCAGGAGATACTGGTCTTCTTCCCATCCCGGGCTGTTGAGAAGTCCCCCAACACCCACACTGCCAGGGGAAAAACACAAGTTACCCAAGCAGTTGTTCCCTGCTTACTCCTGTGGGGTCTTCGGAGGGGTACCTGCACTACCCACCCTTGTCCTGCTGATCCACAGGACCCCTCACCTTCCCCGGTGCCAACAGTGCTACCAGGCAAGTGCAAGACTTTGCCTCGCAGAGGTCCATCAGGGTGCAGGATGATGCACCCACAGCAGAGAGCCCTCCTCTCTGCTGTAGGACCCAGGCACGAAGCCTGGGAAGCCCAGTGTCAGAAGTCAGCCCTTCCAACCCCTGTGGGGGCAGCTCAGCTGTAACAGGACAGCAGCTGATGGTATCTCTGAAGTGTCACTGCTTTGCTCCTCACAAGCCAATCCTTATTTGCAAAGTGCCGTTTCTGGCCAGTGTCCGTGCCATACGCAGGGGCATGGTGAAGGAGATAGTATAGCTGTTTCACCCAACTCTAGCCTGACTGCGGCTTTACCACAAAAAGCTAACATAAGGGCCTCATCAACACCCTCCAAAGCCAAGCTGAAGACTAGCTTGCTGCGTCATAGGCTTTAAGAGAGTAGGGGGATGAAAGTGCACTTAGAGGTGGTGTGAAGCCAGCAGATTCAAAGCAGAAAGAACAGGCAGATCATTATCCCCTGGAGAATGAGGAATAATTCCCAGGAACTTTGGGAGACCACAAGTGTGGCCAGAAAGTGTCAGTGCAGCTTGTGTTTGGAAGGTTTTTGTCACACAATCCATTCCAGCAAGGTCATGTGGGCCAGCAAGAGTAAGCATGTTAATCTTTTTTTTCATTTTCCTGTTTGTTTCTCCTCCAGTTATGTGAAAACTGGAATTCCATAATGTTCCTAAGAGAGTGGGCAACTTTTTTTTTTATTATTATTTTTTTAGATTTTCACCCTGAGGTCTTCTAATATTTTAACTGACAACACTAATCTGCCTTACTCCCTGTAAGGACTCACTTTGGGTCCAAACTCATAACTTCTCCAAGGCAAAAATGAATCTTCTAGGACTGATTCTCCTCCTGATTTATGATTTCAGAGAAGGATTTGTGATCTGAGTGAGAAACTGGCTTGTCAAAAAGATGCTGGATTTTATTTGAGCCTTCTGGGCCCTCATTCCCCTCTTGTGCTAGTTTGGAAAAATTATTCAGTACCTGAAGGTGTACTCTTGAATATATACCAGAGGTTATCTGTATAAATTTAGGTAATCAGACATCCATTCACTGATCCAACATTTAATTTAATGAGGACTTTGTTAAGTATAGAAGCCCTTTCAAACGTGTAATTCAGCTCTGGACTAGACATAGCACTGGAAAACATACATCCAGCAGGGAACACTCTGACTTTGGCAGGAATGATGTATGAGACATAAAATGAGGGGCCTCCTTCTCTCACTGTAATTCCTGTGGGCTGGTTCCTGAAGTCCTTAATCAGCAGCCTTTGCATTGCCTCTAGCAGGTTTGACTCGAACCAGAAGGGGACATAAACTGTGATGTCTCTGGGAAGAAATCTGAAGGTGTGGTCCCAAACCTCTTTTCGACAGGATGAGCCTTGCCCACCCTGCTCTGGCCTGGTCCCAGTGTGGGAAGAAGGAGGTCACTGATGATGGATGATCCATGGCAGTGATTTAGTTTCAGTCAGGAGGGAGCTTCCTCAGAAAATCAGTTTGTTCTTTCTGTCCTCAATTTGGTGCACGTTACAGAGAGGTCTTGCAGTACCCAGGCTGAATTGCTTTCCGAAAAAGAGATGAGCAAAGCAGTGCTGCCCAAGCATGGGTGAACAGAGATTCCTATGAACTGTTTCTGTTTTGCTTAGTTGTCTACGTGAGTGAGCTCAATATGTGGGCAAATTAGTATAGTAAATTTATGAGAAATGGAACAAAAGGAACATTAAAGAGTTTCTAGTCCAGCACAATGTGGCACACTTGGCAGTGTCTCAGATTAACTTGCTTTATTCTTCATCTAGGTGAACATACTTTTCTTAGGCTGTTTTTGTTGGCTTCACAGACTTTTTTGGCTGCAGTCTATAATAGCAGACAGAAAGAACCCTTTCTTTGTGCAGGTTATCCTTTTGCACTTTAAATAATCAAGGCTGTAGCTGTCATTGCAATGCTCATTTATCCACTCCTGTGGTTGCAATCTGCAGCTGATATACACAATGAGGTATTATTAATTGGCTACCTGTGGGTCACTAACTCCTATGCTGGCTTTTTCCCTTGCAGATGTCACCGTTGTCCACACCTGCCCACCACGCCCTATGTGAAGAGTGAGAAGCCATGCATGCTGTCAGAGTACATGGAGCAATACCCCCTTCCTCCCACGGCTCTTCCCAGAGACTCCTGCAAGCCAAAGGAAGAGTACAAGATGGCGCAGATACCCATGGAAGGCATCTCAACTACAAGGTATGAAAAATCGTGAAATAGAGTGAGGAGTGGGACCTATAAAATGCGTGTGTGAGAGATAGGTAACGGAGAAAAGAAAAATGATTGGTTTTCACAAGGGCAGCCTGAAAATAGCAACATTGCAGTTGTTTACTCATGAGTGCGCTACAAAGGAAGGATGAAGGTCTGAGGTCAGTTCTTGTAGTGGAGGTAAGCAGCTATGTTTCTTGCACTGACTGGAGGCTGAGATGTGGTCTGATCAGAGAATACATGGACCACAGAAGCACAGTCACAGTCTTGGCTTTTCTCACTTTCTATTTTGGGAAGGCTTCTGGGAAAACAGCAGAAATGTTGTCTGGGAAAGTATGGAGGGTATTGGAGGAGGTGGGGTTTTTTTTGTTCTGTGTTTTGTGTGGCACTTTGTACACTGTAATGTGAGTGACTGGTTTCCAAGGAGGTGTGAGTATGGTGGAACTGGATGATTGGAATGGGACATGGGTGTTTTCCTCAAGGCAGCCACTGTGGAATGCTGAGCTGTTTCTGCTTCTCAGCTATGTCGTTGCTCAGTGTTGGTGTTTGGCAGAAATCCTCACACTTGCACTGCACCCATTTTCCTGATGGTAGTAACTGCTGAGGCTCTTCCCTACTGCTGGTAGGGTCATGTGCCAAACACTTGTCCACTGAAGAAGCTGATAAAAAATAGGAATCTGATCCTTTAATATGAATCTGAGAGCTTCTTTTTCCTCAAACAACAGCTGCTACCTGATCTTGATGTTTAGTTCCTTTGTCATCACAGGCACAGTCATGAGCAACATCACTCTTGCCTTTGCTGAACAGAACTAGAAATCTAGCAGATGCCAATGGCTATTAACAAAGTCTTAGCAGCTAATACCCCCCATTTGTTCTCATTCTTACTCTACCAACTCCTTCCCCTACCTAAACCTTTTTACGAGTTGACAACTCAAATCACAGACATGGCTGTTGAAGTCTGAAATGCCTGACTTACTCATATTTGGGATGCCTCTGTCTTTGTGGGAGTTTTCAGCAATAACCAAAAGGGTAAGAGTGTTTCATAGAGCAGACTTCAATTGTATATCGCCTTTCATCTCCAGCATGAGACGAAGCCATTAAGACATCTTTGTGTCTGCCTATAACTAAATCCTGGGCTCACAGGTGTCCTCTTAAGGCAGGCAAGAAGGAGCAGCTACCATGGCTGGATGGGTCTGCCAAAGAGACCTTAGAAACTTCCCCTTCAAACAGTAAAAATATCCTTGCTCAGCCAAGGCTCGTGATTCCCACGGTAAAGGTTACTCCTGGAGTTCAGTACTTTCTGAAAAGCAGACTGTTAAGAAAGTGCAGAAATTACTCATATTTGCTTCTTCAGTGTGCACTCTTACCAATTATGCAAAACTTCTCTACCCGTGTAAGAGAGGCAAACACAGAGCTTGAACGGTTAGCGATCAGATTGCAAGCCTGGCTGCTCTGGGCAGCACTGGCAAGAAAGTACACCCGGCGTGAAAGTGCCAAGGCCTGGTGGAGAAGTGCCACCACCTACTAGTTGTCAGCAGAACTCTCTAATAAGACTCTGCTGAGTGGTGTTAGGTGCGATACTGCAACAGGAAGCCCCCTTGATGAAGTCTGGGAGTTGCAGGCTGTACCATTTCTCATGGCATCTTGGATGCAGGCTGCCCCTGATGTATCAGCAGATCAGTCTCTCCTCTGTAATCTCCACTGCAGGTTCTGGGTATCGCAGTAGCCAAGAGCGGGGAAACGGTACTGCCACTATTGGGGAGCTCTCGATCTCACTGGTGAAGAGTCGCCTGCCTGTCATCTGTTACTTGTCCCCAGCACAGGCTTGGCTGTTTGAAATGTGGGATTGTGGGATGTGGGATCGCAGCGTCCTGCCAGTGGCTTGGGGAAGCCCCCTCTGTTACTGAGCCCTCCCTGCTACTGAGGATGCCGCGTGCCTGTGGAACCCATGCTTGTCTTTTCTTGGCCCCTCTTAAAAAACACATTGGCTTTAAATCGCTGAGAAAAGTATGCCAAGGGACTGCAACATGTGTGACATCTACATAAGTACCTCTTGATGCTCTTGGATTTTTTTTTTACTTCCACATTTCTGTTTTTACCCCTATCCCTAATACTTTGTGATGTGACTTTTCTTCTTTTGAGACTTGTGAGAACCTTGTTTATTTGCTAAAGTAGGTAACTAATACAATATACTCAGAGGCTCAGGCTCTTGCCCAGCTAGCATCACTCCAGAAGCAAAGTGCAATATTAATATTAGAATAGCTCCTGTGCTGTCTGTTTCTCCTAGCCAGCTGCTAATGGTGTAAACAGATCTGCACGCCAGTGGAAAAGTATTCTGACACTAGAGAGTGAATTGTCTGGTTCCAGGCAGCAGAATCTGCCCCATACCAAAGGCTGTGGGCAGTGAAATGGGTTCAGGCTAGTGAGTGTCGGATGGTGATCTTGTTTCTGTAATGTTTTGTTGAGGTTAAAAAACACTATCTTAAATAGCTCTTTTACAGTCATACCTGAGTACAAGCTGACTGACTGTGCTGACATGCCTTTCCAAAACTGGTGTTTTGCTGTAAAATTGTTGTTATCTCCCCATCCTGGGCCGAAGAGCTGTACAGGATAATGTCTGGGAAGACTAAGGTTGCCTCTCTCAAGTTTCCCATGCATACTAGATAGCCTGCTATATTTATTGGGCTTTTAAAAGGAGCTATGTCTTCTGGTGTAACTCCACTGCAGAATAGAATAATGGCTTTGTGTAAGGCCATTAACCTCACCGGGTGGTTATTATGTTCCTGGGTGGAAGAAGGGGGACCCTGGCCTGACTGAAGTTTTCCAGAGCTGCCCTGCTTCCTTTTTCAGAGTCCAGGTTTCCAAATCTGAAAGGCTTGTGTGTTTCACTAACTGCTTCTATCCTATCCGGACTTTCTCAGGCTGTGGAGATAAGGAGAACCATTACCTTCTTTGGGTGTCCAGAAAAAAGGAACATAATTTTTTCCTTAAGGCAAAAGATGTAATGAAATTATTTTTCACAGGAGAGATTATATACCTCATGAAGTGTTGCCACAGAAACTGAAATCACCTCAAAGGCACGTCAAGACTGACAGTATGGATCTGACCTCCACTTATAAACAAGATTATAATTCCTACCATATTTCTCAAGTACCTCCATGCGTCCCCCGTGTGACGAGACACATTCCCCGCGACAAGATGGATAAAACAACCACTTACAACGGTATGTGCCTTTGCAACTTCTTTCAGGACTTCACCAGTAGCTTCATTTTTTAAGAAGACAGATCAACGCCGTGTGCAGTTGTCATTCCTTCTGTCTATGTAAGCCAAGCAGCTATGCAGGAACCACACAGACACAAATTCTTGGGAATGCAGCGTTGGGATCTCTCTGAGTTCAGCTTGTTTGCATGCCTGACAGACCTACAGGCATCCTCGGTAGAAGCTGGGCCATGTGAACTCCTGCAAACGGGTCCAGCAGCACCATCTTTAGGATCTATCAAACATACTCTTGGTATGCTGCCAGGCTGCTCCACACCTTCAGTGGATCAGACACGTACATAGAATTTGCTAGGTCTGAGCAGGTCATGAAGCATGGGACCCTTTTTGTGTGTGCTGCAGAGTTAATCTGTGGATGTGCAAGAGACCTATATGGGAATTACAGACACACAGAAGTTCCACACAAATGTCCAAAGCACTCAAGGTCCACTCTTGGTAAAACAGGTGAACTGTGCATCTAACTGTGCCCTTGTCTCTCAGTAGCTGTAACTTGGTAGTAGTTGTTTTGTCTCTGTGGGGGCTTGTCCCTTCTTCTTCACCAGCATGAATAATTCTGCATGCACTGGGAGAAAAATTTCAATTATACAGTTACCGTAACTGTGCTAGTTTTGGTAGTAAGTCGAGGTAGAAAATCAGAGGGTTTTGCCTCCCCTCTGCACACCTTCCAGCTAGCTACTGTTACTGGTCATATAGCTAGCATTTGTATTTTTCTTAAAATAATTATTTGATTTTGTTTTATTTTATTTTATTTATGTTTATTTTAATTATGCTGTGCAAATATAAAAACTTGTAATTGGTGCTGGCATTGAGATTTCTCCTAATGTAGAGAAACAAATTTTTTTTTGTAAAACTCAAAATGATAAAGGAATTAAGAAAGTAAGAGGTATGTGAATGCAGTGTTAAGGTTATACAGCTGAAATGGCTGAAAGTCAGACTTCAGTGCAGCTGCACGTTTGCAACAGCATAAACTGGAATTTTTACATTAAGCAGCCAGGAAATACTGTCCATTTAGGACGACTCGAATCATGAAGACTATGACCCACAGGTGCAAAATACCCATGTTTACACTATTTTGAACACTTTGTTTTGCATAGGCAATGTCACCAGATGGTATTCGTTGGCACAGCTTCAGTGAAGCCATTTTAAAAAAGGCTGCCTCGCACAAGCAGAGGATCTTTCCTTCTGTGTTTAGATACCCTTAACTTCTCTGTATCTGAACCAGATGTATATCTTTGTCTTTTATCAGTGTTTAGGTCAGTACCTCAACTGTTACTCCAGTGCTCTAATAAAATGTATCACTGCCACATTTGGTTATAATTTGCAGTATTTTTCAAAACACTGCGAATGGAAATCTTTGTCTGAACCCCCTCAAAGATCAAGTTGCATACTGAATAAATTCCCTTTTAAAGGCCCAGGTTCACAAAAAATACAAGTTTTCATTGTGCTAGTCTCTGAGCATGGCTATGCTTTAGATACTACTCAAGTGTGAAATTACTGATACTACTTAAGTGTGAAATTTTGAAACATACTATTCAATTATTTATCATAATTAAAATTTAAGCAGCATTTACAACATTTAAGCAGCATATAGAACAGTGCTGCATTGGTATTAAATTACCTTTCTTACTGTACTGTCATACTCCCTCCCACTAAACTCGCCATATTCCAAGTGACGCTGTAGGTTTAAAACGATGCTATTGCATATCACAATTAGTTAGATGACTTTCCAACTTCAGGTTTCAAAATTCTTACCTCCTTTAAGCTACCTCCCATCCTTTTTATAGCTGTTTCTATCCATCTGCAGGTATGTAATCTAATTTTAGTTTTGTCTTGCTTGGTTATAGTGAGATGTGCCTAACCCTTCAATAACATATGGTTTACATCCTCCATTCCCTCCTGCACCCCCTAATGTTTTCAAGATTGTGCTACATGGGAAACTATTAATATCTATGGGAGAAGAATTAGAGTTACAATAAAACTGTAACATATTTTGAAGGAATAGTAGCACTGCTGGCTTACACTAAGTAAAATAAATTCATAATACCTATGAGATCTCCAAATGTGTAGAGCTTGTAAATTTTAAAAATTGAAGACAGATGGACTTGCTTGTCATATTTTGAATATTTTGCAAAAGCTGTGGTTACGTCCAAAACGCACTGACTCTTTTTGCGGCAGAGATGACAGGAGAACCTAAAAAGCTTTTAGGTAACTCTCGGTTGGGCATCTGAACTGTCAGATCTCTGAGCGAGCCCTTGCTAAGGGGTGGGCTCGATCTCGTTAACTTCTCACTTTTTAACGCTTTGTTAATACATTGCCTGTAATGACATGTGTCCGTATACGCTTGTGGTTCACCCTGCAGGACCATCTCTCCAGGGAAAGGATGTACCCTAGGCACGGGCACGAGGCCAGCATCCCGCCCAATCTGCTGTTGCCCCAGAGAAACAGGGGCACCCGGGGGCAATTAAACCCCCTTGTCACTGGCAGGGCACACAGCCTGGGCTGCAGTGGCACCAACAGCGGCCAAAGAACATCTGTGCTGGTGGACACAGCAGAGCCCCTGTTCTCAGCTGACTGCACTAATTAGCAGAACGAGGGCAGCCCTGTACCCAAGGGCCGGGGTCCTTGCTGGGAGCAGCACAGCATCTGTGGCTGCTGCTTCCTCTCTTGTGCCAGGACAGAGCAGCTTAATCTGAGCCAGGAGGACTTTAAATGGACACCTAATGGGGGCAAAAAGTTACTTTTTCTTGGTTAACTTCACATTGTAATGAACACATACTTTGTGTAATTGTGTTTGTGTAGTACAATAACCACTGCCATTCAAAAGGAGTAACCCTGTTTGGATTTGAGAGTTCAAATATCCTGATACATAATTGCATCATTTACTCTCCAGCATTTTGAAACCCAGACTTCCTTCCTATGCAGAGTCAGCTGGAAGCTTATTTGCTGCATGACTCTCCATGTGGTTTGAAAGGAGGGAAAGTTAGAAACAAAACACAACAAAAAACCAACTTGGGTTATCTCCAAGACAATTTAATTTCGACTTCCTACCAGTAACCACAATGCTCTCTAGGGCAAGTTGCACAAGTTTACTAGGAAGGGAAAAAAAATGGTCTGGTGGCTGCAGCGCTGGTCAGAGAATTAGGCAGCTTTGCAATGGATTTCTAGTGGGACTGAGTGCAAATCCTTTTAAGTTTCAGTGCCTCATTTTTTTTTCCTGGTACCCTGCCAAGAAAGGAAGATATGAATGTCCCTAAAATGCCACTTAAAATGTTTTCTTTGTCATGAATTTTGATAGCAAGTTTTCTGGAATTTGGACTGTCCCTGTGAGTAGGCTTGCTCTGCAAATGCCAGCACAGTTTTTCAATTAAGGAGGAACTGGAGACAGAGTTACAAGCTCCTTCTGGGTTCCTGCTTGTACTGACAGCAGGAGTACCAGTGAGCAAAGCCAAAAGCTGAGGAAACATCACACAGCACAGCTTGCTGACACCAAAATGAGCTGCAAAACTGTGAACTCAGCAGCCAGTAGGCAACATTACATCTATGCCATTGATAACTCAGGTCATCCCCAAATGAGAAGGTACGAAGAGGAAGGGTAGCTCTGCGACTTGGTCTTTAGGGTGGAACGGTGGACACCTGGCTCTCCTTGCCCCAGAGACACTGTTGGAGACATCTAACTGCCTTCAGCAGACATAGGTATACTCTGCCTGTTCTCTGAGCCAGCCACAATGTAGCTGCAGGAAGGTAAAGGAAGGGCATTTAAGTCAGTGCCATGATATTCCACTTTCATTATTTCTGCTTGAATGAGCGTGAGGATAGCACCCACTCAGTCACCTGCAGAAGATGTCTCTGCAAGACTGAGAATGTAATTTAATCTTCCCACATTGTACTTGAACATCTCTGTAAGCGTGGGTGGGCACAGAAATATTTTAATCCAATTCTCTCTGTAGATGCTAAGCATTTCCAGGGTCTAGCACACTAGTGTATAATGTGTTCTACAGCAGCTCTTTTAGTAGGATTTCTCATTCATTGCAACATCAATGAATATTTATTACAGTAGAAAATGTAATAACAAAAATATAATATGGTATATGCCTAAACTCACCAAAGAACTTCTGTCAAGTACCTAGGTTTCTTCTTACATTTCAGATGACTATGTGCTATGGAATGAACCAAAGGCAGAGATGATCAGACCAGATAACAGCTTTCGCCCATCAGAAGAAAAATTTGACTACACAACCGTTGTCCAGGATGACTACCTCTACTGGGGGCCAGTTGCCACTCAAAGCTGCAAACCTCAGAATCTGCTGCAGAAAAACAAGGCTCCCTTTCAGAATACAACCAGTTATAGAGTGAATTATGTGACACATCCTCTGGAGAAACCTTATGTCCATAAATATGAGAAATACAAGGCCAATGAGGTCCCATTTGATGGTCTCACCACCCACAAAATTTCTTACAAGAGACTGGATGGTAAGGCAGCCACGCTGGCAAAGCCAGAAGAGCGAAAGATTCTCCATGATCTTCCATTTTCCTCTATGACTGAGTTTCAGGAAAAATACCAAGCTTGGCCACAGCCTCCTATATTGTCCAGAAAACCTGATGCATATCTTCCTCCTCTGGAGAAAATGGACCTTCACACCACTACTCAGATGCATTACAAGTACTCAAATGGCAAGCCAGCCAAGCCGTGTCGATCTTTGCTCCAGCTTAAAAAAAGTACTGACCCATTCAATACCTCTTCTGTAACGAAGGAAGACTATAAGCCTTGGCTGAGCAAGAGGCTGAAACCTATCATTCATGCTCCAGAGCTGACTTTCCCAGCACAACCAATGGATTGCTTGACCACCTTTCAAAGCCATTACGTGCATCATCCACTCTCAGTTACAAAGAGCTATAAACCTGGCTGGTCAGGCCCAAAGCATGACACTCCGCTGGATGATAAAACCATCTACGCTACCACCTACACACCAAAGGCCATTGTTAAATGCTTGGCTTCTTACAAAGACCCACCTGGTTATGTCTTTGAGGGAAATGATGCTGACGGTCACAATCTCTATCTGCCTGCTTCCGAGAGCGAGTGCCTGCAAGGTGACCACTGAAGGTAAAAGAGAACGGATGCAGCCTTCTTGGAAATGGAGTCAAAGGGTGAGGCAACAGTGAGTTACAAATGACAGCTTGGTTTTGTAACCTTCTTTCAAACCAATCACTAATTTAATATTTGGAGAGCTCTTAAAATAAACTTAATTTCCAGGCATTAGCTTTTTCTGGCTCATTTGCACAAACAAAAAACATAAAATCCGGGGAAAAGACACACTGATCCTTTTTCCTCCACATTTGGTCCCCCCCCCCCCCCCCCCCCCCCCCACTCATCTCTCTCGACAGCAGAAAGA